AGTACAATGAATCGAAGTTCAAAGGAATGTTGTTTGTCCCTAACTGTGGAAGTGGAAAAGATTTTCAGAAGCATTTTAAATTATATTTTTCAATATACTTTCTCCTCCATGATCCTGCCTGACTCAACTTCCTTCAATACCAATGTAATGTCTCACAAAAAAAAACCACACCACTTTTATTGAGAAAAAATTCTAATATAATATATAATATATAATATAGGTAGAGATTTTTAAAAAATCTGAAAAGGTCTCTGAGTCATTTCCAAATAACATAAGATGAAAAAGGATTTGGCTTTTTATATTACTTACATATTTTTACATGGATAAAGTACTTCAAAGGAAAAAGGCGACCCTTACAAAAATAAGAAGTGGTAAGATCCACACAAATTTTAGGAGGAAGGGCTCAGTGGGAGTCTGAGCAGTTGGACAGAGCCTCAAAGAGGACGGTAGAGCCAACCTGCGGGGAAGGGCCATTACTGCACTGGCTGCCAGGCCCAGGTGTCTACTTGCTGAGGGATTAACGCATGAGTGAATGGAGCCCGGAAGGGCGTGCTTCAGCAGACAGGGAGAAACAGACCACAATTAGAGCAAAGGAGAATGAGATGTGAGGCAACCGGGCGTGTGAGCTGAGGTCTCTCTACTCTCAACTTTTCTAGTAAGCACAATGAGGGCTCAGGAGACAGCCCAGTGGCCCAATACTTGCAAAGCACGCCTGAGGTACTGGGATTGATCTCTAGTATAAAAAGAAGTGAGTAAACTAAGTAACAAATAAATAAATCCTCAGAATCGAATAAGCAGAATCAACACTTTCGGCAGAGATATGAAGCAATGACTTGCTGGGTTACAAGGTGTGATACGGTGTGGCCAGCATGGAGTGGGTGGAAAAGCCCTGACCTGGATCCCAGCAGCAGCAGGAACCAAGGGACAGGAAAACCTGGAGATCCTAACAGCGAGTGAGACTGGGAAGGGGACTTCAGTCCTTCTGCAAGTGCCCGAGTCGATGGAAGCTTGCTTTCGACTTGAAATGCTATGTAGCGGTCTATCCATCCAGCCACACATTCATGGGGCTGCCGCAGGAGGATTCTGAACTTCGAAGAAGGAGCACCTTGTCATTTCCTAAACCTCTCCGTTGGTTAAGTCTTTGATGACAGATGACAGATTCTTTCTTGGAGATGAGAAGGAAGCAGCAGAGCAACATCGCTTCCACGTCTGCTTCCTTCCTGCCTGCTGCCTCCTAATTCCCATCCGTCCCAGCTCTCAAGGATCCCAGTGCCCCACACTTAGGATAGGGCCTGACTATAACTCATGAGTCTTGACTCGTCAATACAAAAGTAAAATTTAAAAGCATCCAGCACTCATTAAGTCAATCACTCGCGCTATGCTTCTTTGAACATTTCACTATACAACTGCACGCATCCCTCTTAGATCTTATTTTGAGCTGATCTTAAAAGACTACTGCCAAGAATTAATTTATGTATGCATTTATTTTAGTGGTGCTGGAGGATGCAAGTCATGGCCATGTGCTCCACCACTGGGGAGTCTACAAGGACTTTCACCAAGAATCTACTTGAAATTTTTTTGTTTTGTTTTTCGAGACAGGGTTTCTCTGTGTAGTTTTGGTGCCTGTCCTGGATCTCGCTCTGTAGTCCAGGCTGGCCTCGAACTCATAGGGATCCACCTGGCTCTGCCTCCCGAGTGCTGGGATTAAAGGCGTGCGCCACCACTGCCCGGCTGGAATTTTTACTACAATGTAGAGAGAGAGAACCTCAGCAGAAACTGAAGTTCTCCCGTGTGTGTGTGTGTGGGGGGGGGGGGGGGGGGGAGGCACTGCATGCCGGAAAAGAGGAGAGCTAACCAGGAGCAAAGCCACTGCCTCGGGGATTTCCACTCACTTTTCTCTAAAAAGAAAGAACCCGTCTTATCGTTCCTTCATCTATGCAATTCTCAGACTCCCTCTGCCAAGAAAAAGAGGCAAGTAAGAATCTGCTTACACTGAGTCAGCCAGGAATCCTCCCCTGCTCTGCCAAATACTCAGAAAGTAACCACCATCAGGAGCTGATTCAAAGAGAGGCTCCAGCTTCCTTTCAGCTACCGTGACATTGGTGCATTTGAAATGACAAGTTGTTGGGAGGATTGAGTTATTTGAACTTGTTTTCAAACATGGGACCCCAGTTAATCATCTAAACAGATACAGACTTAGGACTTAACATCCAGACTGGAGAGATGGCTCAGCAGTTAAGAGCATGTGTTGCTCTTATTGAGGACCCAGGTTCAATTCCCAGCTCCCATATAGTGTGGTTCACAACTATCCCTAACTCCAGCTCCAGGAGATCTGATGCCCTTTTCTGGCCTTGATGAGTACCAAGCATGCATGTGGTATACATACATACATACATACATACATGCAAAAAGATTCCTACAAGTCCTAAACAGTTTTGGCTATATGAGTTCTAGGCCAGCTAGGTTCTTATATGGACTGTGTCTATAACTTTAAAACAAAATCAAAATGAAAATAATTACAGGAGACTAGTATAGTGGAATATGTCTATAATTCCAACATTCATTAGTCTGAAGCAGGAGGATTACAGTGAATTTGAAGCCAATCTGGGCTACATTGCAAGTACCAAGCTAGTCAGGACTACATGGCAAGAACTCGCTTCAAACAACATTTAAAATCAAATTTTAAGAACCTCCCCAACACACACACATGCACACACACAACTTAAACCCTTAAAATTAAGTCCAATCTCACATGATGTTGGTATTACAAACAATAAAAAAATCTGTTTGCTTTGATTACAGACACATGCCACCATGCCCTGTTTATGCATGGCTGGGGACTAAATCCAAGTTTTCAGACATACTAGACCAGCACTCTACCAATTCAGGTGCATCTCCAGCCCCAAATCTATTTTAACTAATGAAGGAAGAGGCCATGACATGAATTCAGAAGAGAGTAAGGAGGGGTACGTGGGAGGGTCCGGACGGAGGAAAGGGAAGGGGGAAATGATGTAATTATAATCTCAAAAGTAAAAGAAATAACTTTGAGGGAAAAAAGTGTTCAAGAAGCCAGGCATGGGCTGGTGAGGTAGCTCAGTTGATACGATCACTTGCTGCCCAGCCTGATGGCTGGTGCAATCCACATGACCCACATGCAAGGAGAAAACGGGCTCTTACGAGCTGTCCTCTGACCTCCACGTATGATGTGTTAGGACATGCATGTACACACGTGAACCTCACACAACAACCAAACAAGTGAGCAAATGTAAGAAAAAGAAATGTAAGAGCCAGGTATGGGGATGCATGCCTGTAACTCCAGCACTCCAGAGGCTGAGGCAGGACCAGAAGTAGTCTGAGGCAATCTCTGTTGCCCCCCACAATGAAACTGTGTCTTCACAAGAAAAAGAAGACATACTACACGGGTTTAAAAACATGTCTTTCTCATTTCTCCACCCAAAACAACTCAGCACGCAATATAAATTAAACAGGCAGGTTTTACTATGTAGACCAGCCACCGTACGGGAAGAAAAGATATCTTCTACACTTCATTTTCAGTGGTCCAATCCTTCCTCCTCCAATCTGAGCCACAGATGTCTTTGGCCACTAAAAACTCATTCTACTGCTGTGGAAATAGCCAACGCTATTCAATAGCTGGCTTATGACAGAACTTTAGATTTATCTAGCAAAAACACTGTGTGTATCAGTACTTCCTCGTCCTGTGAATTAATAATCTCAGCCAAGAGCAGAGGAAAGCCAGGGCAGATGGGCAGGATATCCTCAAATTATCTGCTCTGCTTTATGTCATTCCAGAAAGAAATCTAGTGCCTGATGCGCTGCTGGAAACGCCAATTCAGCCCCTGACACACCTTGGCTGGCAGGGCCCAGGGCTGGAAGAAAAGGCCCTTCCATCCTCGCCCCTCACTACCAAGTGGGGAAGCCTGAACTTCTTCGTCAAGGGAAATGGGCAAATGGGGCTTTCTGGGTTCACATACACTTCTGCCAATCTTGGTTTAAGAGAACCTGACTAAGGACAGAGCATACACACTATTTTTTCAAGGACCATAGTCATAGCCAAGTACCTCAAATTCTATTTACACCAAACCACACATATCCACTATTGAGCTGTGGTGGCATTTCAGTGTTCTTATCCACTTTGACACAAAGTGTAGTGTGATAATATATATACATTTCTCTCCCTCTCCTCAATACACTTCAGCAAATCTCAAGTAGACTTAACAGTATGTATCGGATTGCATGCTTGGTACTGACATGATGCGTATTAGCTTTTATTAGGACGTCAAACCACTTCATCTTTATAAGCCTGTTATTTTGTCTATGAAAAAAATACCTTGTTGCTGTGTTACTTGTTAGTATGGTAAGTTTTAAAGAACCAGGGAACAAAAGTACTTGAGTACACGTCCCTCGATCCAAATCATACCTCATATTCTCTTGTACACTAATCACAGAGGTCTAAAATCTTGCCAATGATGGTCAGAATACCCAAATAATAATAGTGAGGTTACTGTTACTATTGCTAAGAATAGCTAATATCAGAACTTACTGTGTCCAAAGAATTATTCTAAAGATCATGCCCACAATTTAGCTCATTAATCAATCCTCGTAACAACAGAGGAAAGTAATTGGAGTCGCCAGGACGGTGCTAGGCAAATGTAACGAGAGTGACTACAGACCCCGCCCCCGCCGCCCAAGTAGTTAAGAAAACGCCTCCTTGGGATTCATTATTATTCAGGTCAAATGACACAGGATGTGGACCGATATGGAGAGAGAGGGTCAGAACGAAGGCACAACCTACATGAACGCCGGGAGGCGAGAGTGTCCCTAGGACGCTCAAAGAACTGAAGGCGACTCAACTCCAGTGGCCGGCCGAGTTCACCTGCCATGCAGTGGTTAGTGGGGAGACGGGAGAGGCGTGCCTGGGAAAGGCAGTGCTCAGTCAGGGCGGTTAGGGTCAGCCGGCTGGTAAAGTTTGGAGGCCCCACCTGTCAGCAGCAGCCTGTACTGAGGGATCCTCTGAACTGGCTTCAGCAGGTAATGCTTCAGGGCCAGGCTGGCACATCGGGGGCTCATCTGAAGGGAAAGAGCATTCACAGTAAACCCACTGTCTTTTCAGCAGCGAAGAGCGCAGGTTGAAGCTCTGAGGGAGTCAAACTTGGAACAGCCAGCTACTCGGGACGGGAATTCAGAGACGCTTCCTTCTGTAAGACACGGTGGCTGTACAGCAAGGGAGAGTGACTGGAGCCACCAAACCCACCCCTCCGGTCGCTCCCTCAAGCCAGCCCTCCTAAGAGCACTGGTTCACAGCTTTCAGAGGGTGGTGCCCACAACTGACATCCCAACACGTCAGGGAACGTGTTCCAGGACAGTCCTAACTACAAACCCCAAGGAATCAAAAGGGAATACATGGCCCCCAAAATAAGGAAGCAGATCTAAAACTACTGAGGCTCAGATTTAAGCAATAACCACAGACAGCCCTGTAACAACAGTATAGAGGGGAGGGCTATAGAAATTAAAACTAAGAGCAGCCTTGCTAAGTGCCCCTCTCTCTTAGAATAACCAAGAATGGAAAACATCTTCTTGGGTGAGTAGTCCTACAAGACAGCCAAGTCAAAATGTATACACCTGGCTGCATAATGTTTTCTTTTTAGGGTGTGTGTGTGTGTGTGTGTGTGTGTGTGTGTGTGTGTGTGTGTAGACTAGAACCCAGGCCTTTGCAAATGCCAAGCACATGTGCTGGTCCAGGGGCATATCATGAGCCCTGGAACACTCAAACTTGTCCATAAAGCCATGTGATTGTCCTTAAAACTTTTTTCCTTAATATGTAAAATAGTGATCTCAGTCTCTTCCAGTGCAAGAGTTGACTGTCTGGTAGGACCAAAATGAGCATGTAAGTATGCCTTTGCACTGCTTTTTGACACAGCTCTCTCTAAGCAGCTCAGGCTGGTCCTGAACTCGCTATGTTCTTGTCTCAACCTTCTGCTTGTTTACAGGATATGCCACGATACCCAGCAGTGCCTCTTCTGATTTTCAGTGGCAGAGGAGAGGAAAGGTGGGAGGACTACCAATTACTTTTTTAGTCCGATTACTTGTCTGTTGTACAAATTAGTACAAGATAGAAACCAGCAACACTGTAATATTGTGGAAACTTTTCATTTCTCATTTTGTGTGGCTAGAATTTACTGAGCATTTTAGTTTCAAAACAAAGAAACACTAAAACACTGTAAACCAATGGATAGAGGAAAATTAAACTAATTGCAAACAAGAGTGCATTGCCACTGCTCAGGAAGCGGAGGCAGGGGGATGGGGGTCCACGGCCAGCCCTGACTGAGTAACAGACTTGAGGCAAGTCTGGGGAACAATGGACAATATCATTTCATCCCAATCAAATCAAGTGTACACCTCCAATCTTTCAGTCAAAACACAAAACTTTAGCTGACACATAAAATACAAAGTTTGAAACTTTGAGGCTAAAGCTGTATCGACTTACTTATCGAACAAAAATCGTGTTTCTTTCCATTACTGTATGTGAAGGTGTCAGACAAATGAAGAAATTGTTGGGTAGAAATGAGAGATGTTCCCTTAGTATTCCAATTCATCAGAATAGGGGTGGGCAGGGCGGAAGAGAAGGACAAGTTAATGTTTAATGGCTATGGAATCTCGATTTTGCAAGACTAAGTGTGTTTCGGAAGGATGGTTACACAATATTGTCCACATACTTCACACTACAGAGTTATAGACTTAAGATGGCTAAGATTATAAGTCTGTGGTGCGTACATTTTACCGTGGGCTTAAAAAAATAAGATAATTCATTTGTCTATTTATAACTTGTGTGTGTGTGTGTCTTGCACACATGTGCACATGTGTGTAGGTATTAGATGCACACATGATACAGCATGCATGCTGAGGCCGGAGGACAACTTTCCAGACTGAGAGTCAGTTCTCTCATTCCACATGTGGGGTCTCGGGGACTGAACTCATGTGGTTAGGCTTGCCGGCAGGTACCTTTACCCTCAGAGTTATCTTGTTAGGCCTTGTTTCGTCTTTGAGACTAGGATTCCTGTAGTCCATGCTGCCCTGGAACTCACTATGTGGCTGAGGATGGCTTTGAACTCCTTATCTTCCTGCCTCGGCTTCCCAAGTGCTGGAGCCCAGGCATGAGCCGCCATACCCAGCTGAGGAGACTTGAAAGTCAAGACTCTGAGGTCAGCCCGGCTACAGAGGGAAACCTTGTTTCAAACAAATTAACTAGTTGCCAGACTCTCACCAAAATACTGTTTACCCAATCAAAACAGGACAATGTGCAGTAATAGATCTTCAGAGTCAAATCACGGACTGTTCAAGTTTTCACTGGTTTGTTTGGTCAATTAATTTCTTCTATGATTTAGAAGAGATTATATATATATATATATATATATTTTTTTTTTTTAGAACTTTTTTTTTTTTTGGTTTTTCGAGACAGGGTTTCTCTGTGTAGCTTTGCGCCTTTCCTGGAATTCACTTGGTAGTCCAGGCTGGCCTCGAACTCACAGAGATCCGCCTGGCTCTGCCTCCCGAGTGCTGGGATTAAAGGCGTGCGCCACCACCGCCCGGCCAGAAGAGATTATATTTTAACACATTTTTTTTTTTTTGGAGCTGAGGACCAAACCCAGGGCCTTGTGCTTGCTACGCAAGCGCTCTACCACTGAGCTAAATCCCCAACCCCATTTTGACACATTTTTATTCAGAAGTTTTCCTTTGAATGACTATAAATGGTTAAGGCATAGAAAATGTAAGGGAAAAAAGGTTCAATATTATACGGCAGCAAATACCTCGAATTCTCTAACAACGGCAGCAAATCCTGGATTTTTCCTGCACTGCTCATCCAGCAGAGCTATGTTCTTATCAAACTCTTTGATGTATGTGGAATACATTTTTAAATACGGCCCCTTCTTTACGAAGATGTCGGCAATCCTTTGTTGTTCGTTCCTGTGGACAGAGGGCGTACAAAACCATGAAAGCACGGCAAGGCCATCGGCGTGTCCTTTTATTTTTCCTCTTCTTGAAAACATATCCTAGATGCCTGCGCTTCAGCACTGCCCCGCCATGAACACATCTTGTCCAGACTCTGCCGGCTCTGACTGCCCCCCCTTCCATTTCTGTCCTCTCTGTTCCATCCTTTAGAGCAGCAAGAGCCCCCCCTCCCAAAAGCATATCCTATTATGTAACTTCCAATGATGCCTTCTTTTCATTATTTATTTGTGTGTGTGTAAATGTATGTATGTTTGTGTGTACGTGTGTGTGTGTACGGATGTGTGTATGGATGAATGGATGTAGATGGTATTACTAAGCTACCCAGACTGGTCTTGATCTCATGACTCTACTGCTTCAGTCTGTCTCCTGTTGTGATTACAGATGAGTGCCACTACCTCCAGCTCCAAGGACCTTCTTTCTGCACTTAGAATAAAAATAAATTTCATGCACACAAGGCCTACTACTCACTCCTTCCTGTCTGACCCAGGCCATGTTCTCTTCTCTTTTCCTGTTCTCAAAAGCGTCTGTATTTTCTTTGAATATACAGAGTCCATCCCCCCCTTGTAGCCTTTTCCTAATTGGGTCCACATGCCTGGAAATAGGGAGCCCTTGGAGTTTCCCAATTGCCGTGTCCTATGTCAGCTCACATGCTCCACATTTTGGGGTGAGGGTGGCTGAAATCCGAACACCTTACATGTACTGGGCAAGCACTCTACTACTGGCTATTCCTAGCCCATGTTCCACTTTCCTTATAGAACCGTCTTTGGACAATCTAGTCTTCACTACGTAAACCAGCATGTTATCAGTCTCTGCAAAGTAGAAGGTTTTTTTTTTCCGCCTGATTTTTCTAGTCTATTTTCTTGGCCCTTCTCCCCACTAAAATGTCTGTGCCATGAAAGCAAGACCTCTGTATATTTTGTGTACTACGACAGGCTTGTCATATGTCGATTACCAACTAGCACAGTAGATAGTCAAACCTTGGAAAATGAAATACTTGCTAGGCCTGCGTGGCTCACACCTGTAATTCTAGTACTTGGAAGGGTGAGACAGGATTGCTCTGAGTTCAAGATCAGCCTATACTCTATAGTGGATCCTAAGCCTAAGCCAGGGCAGTTCAAAGAGAGACACTTGAACTTATTTCAAAACATCAGATGACTAAGGAGGCAGGCATGCTGCTGCTGCCATGTGGGGCAGTGGTAACCAGAAGGACATGGATTCCTTGACGACAGCTCTAACTACCTTGTTTCTCGTGGCTCTTCCCCCCCCCCCCCCCCCCCCCCCCCCCCCCCCCCCGCGCCCCAGCAGGCAGTGGACAAATCAAGAGGCACCAGTGGCCTCAGACCATGTCCTTCCTTACGGAGCAGAACATGATCTATGTATGGCCTGGAGATCAAGGTGGAGAGTCAGTACTGGCTAAGTGCGTCCTGTGACAGCAGAACAGAAGTGTCACTGTGGAAGGGGGCACAGGGCCAAGGCTCTCCGGATCAACAAGGTGGCCTCTGCTTCCAAGTTTCCCTGGCAGAGAGATACTGTACACCAGCTTAACTATCTCAGTGGCACCAAGTGTCACTCTAGGTCCTGACCTGGAGTTTCAAACTTCTGTTTTATAAAGAGTGGCTCCTAAGCCGGGTGGTGGTGGCACACGCCTTTAATCCCAGCACTCGGGAGGCAGAGCCAGGCAGATCTCTGTGAGTTCGAGGCCAGCCTGGGCTACCAAGTGAGTTCCAGGAAAGGCGCAAAGCTACACGGAGAAACCCTGTCTCGAAGGAAAAAAAAAAAAAAAAAAAACCAAGAGTGGCCCCAATCTAGCTAGAATTGAAAATACTGTAATTTCTCTAACAGTGGGGGCCTTAAATTGGTCTTACTAAGACAAACATGTACACTTTGATCTACATATGGAGCATTTGGTGCTCTAACTGCCCTAATACAAATATATATTTGAGTCCAGGGCTTCTTGTATAGTAGACAAACCATTAAGCTAAATCCCCAGGCCTCTTTTTATTTTAAAAATATTTATGGATTGACTCACTGATTGATGCTGAGGAGTGGGGCACGGATGTGAGGTCAGAGGACAATTGTGGGAATCAGGTGCCTCCTTTTACCATGCAGGTTCTAAGGGTCAAACCCAGCTCCATAGGTTAGGTGGCAAGCACCTTTACCCACTGATTCACCTTGCCAGCCTGTCTTTTACTTTCTGTTTTGAGACAGAGACTTGTTAAGTTGCTCATGCAACTCAATGAACTTGGGCTTGCAAGCGTCTGCTCCACCAGACCCGGTGAAAAGACTATGTTGATAGGAAATACCCTATTCAAAGACTTGAACTATTTTGTTAGCAACAAGTGAAACTTTTTCTCTTAGTGAAGAGTTGTCTCTTTCATTAGTTAGGTCTGGTTCTCAGGAATGCTTGATATCTGAACACAGACCATCTATAGGTCCAAAACTTGAAGAATAATTTAGTATAAGCAAAAATATTTAAACCTCTTTATATTACTTATACAAATATACCTATCATTAGGCTTTAAAGCCAATTCACGATAATACTAATATAAAATTCTGTAAAGAAAAAAAGATAAAATTTGTACAGAATTATTTTGGTAATGATAATTTATTTTCACTATTACCTTAACAAATTACAGCCTGGAATGAATCAGGAAGTAAAACCTTATCTCAATTAAAAAAAAAAAAAACCACGGAAAAAAGCAAAAGCTAAGTTCGCTGAGCATGGGCCTGAGCAATCATTATCCAGCGTGCTAAGGTATGGCTATCCAAAATATTCAACGTACAAATAACTGCCAAGAAAATTCAACATACCGCAGCAATTCTGCATAACGGACACCACTCTCTCCCTGGCAGGGTCTCTGTGGATTTGTCTAGTATTGTACACTTTGGGGAAGCCTGACTCTGTCCACGGCTTACCAGCTCATCAGTCTTTCCTCCAGTTCCTTCAGGAGATCCCGGTTGAGTTCATACAGCTGAGGCAGGTAGTACAAGATCTGGTTCAGGATCCGGTCCTCAATCACGGGCTTCCCAAGTTGCCTGGATGCATGGGCTACCGCATCCCGGAAATCCTAGGACAGCCAGGAGGAGGAAAGTCACTATACATACTCATAACTACATTGAAAGCTTTGTGCCTAGGCATCCTCCTCCCTACGATGATCTAAATCACAAAACTAACGAAACCCCAGGGCTAGGCTGCTGTCAGGGAAATCTTAGAGACTCCCAAAACAATAGGAGCTATCGCTATTACCCTAGGCTGCCCCCCAGAGCTTGAAGTTAAGACCCTACTGCTAAAGACACCACACATTTGGACACAGAACTTGGAGGAATCACGCTGGAACTGATCTGGAAGCTTCCTCCCTGAAGACTAGCGCTCATACTATCTGCAAGTGCTATGCAAACTGCCAAGGGAGAAAACCAAGCATCAGTCTTATCCAGATGTAGCGACTACAAACTGTAACAATGACAGGCTAGACAAGACAGCCCCAGGGGCACAATAGCGGTACTGTTATCTTGGGGGTAACCAACACTGTCTAACTGGATTTAAGGCCCGTTCAACAGGAGGGAATTCACACCTGGGAGTGTGTAAACCTAGCCACCTACCTGTGGCTGGAGAGGCCATAGACCCTAGAGAAGAACCTACTGCTGCCATTTTTCTAAACTGCGATGTCTATTTTTGGTTGTCAACTTGTCAACATCGGAAATTAACTAAAAATCCAAAGATAGAGGGCACACTAGTAAGCGACTTTTGCTTAATTTGAAATAGGAAGATCTACTTCTAATCTGGATCTTGAAGAAGGAAGACACACCTTTAATCTGGGCCACACCTTCCAGAAGCATACAAGGACATGGAAGAAGGAAGCTTTTGCTCTGCCTGCTTGTCCTCCACCTTGCCTTCACTGGCATTACAACCTACTTCTTCAAGATTCCTGTGTCTACTGAAGATCAGCTGAGATGTCCAGCCTTGTGGACTGAGCAACTTCTGGATTCTTTTTTTTTTTTTTTTTTTTTTTTTTTGGTTTTTCGAGACAGGGTTTCTCTGTGTAGCTTTGCGCCTTTTCCTGGAACTCACTTGGTAGCCCAGGCTGGCCTCGAACTCACAGAGATCCGCCTGGCTCTGCTTCCCAAGTGCTGGGATTAAAGGCGTGCGCCACCACCGCCCCGGCTAACTTCTGGATTCTTGAACTTTCTTCCGTTCACAGCCATTGCTGGAGACACTTGCTAATCAGGATTCTAGATCTAAACCATTGCTTTTGGCTTATTGTGTTCCTTGGGCTAGCCTTGGCTTCTTCATTTGTTAAATAGGTACAATCGTTACATCATTAGCATTAGTACAGTACTAGTAATAAAGTCTAATTGGATGTTGCACATAAAACTTTCTGCAATACATCTGGTACAGAGCCAACACAGCACTCTAGGTCTTAATGCTCCTCTCCCTTGAGCCATCTCCCAGGAAGCTCACCATTTACACTTTAGAAACACATGGTATAGTCTTCATCTTCTGTTCTCTCTAGACTGCTAGGGCTGTGTTTTAATGTAGGTCACCACCACCACCACCACCACCACACCCTAGCACTGCAGAGGAGGAGGAAAGGGTGGGGGAGGAGATAAGTACTGGCCTAGACTTCATTGTCCTCTGAGGGTGGGATCTAAGTTAAACAATAGTGGAATCTCCCAGCTGTCCAAAGCTCCAAAGCAAAGGCCGTATGTTCCTCCTCCTGACCGCTGGGTTACAAACCTAAGGCCGAACCAGAAGCTCACTAGGCATTCTCTTTACTTCCAACTGTCCTCCCTTCATGGATCTGCTAGGCAAATCAAATGGAAAGGGAGAGCATCTCCTCTGTTGATTCCTTCAACACCTGTCCCTAAAGTACAAGTTAATCAAGAGTATTTCTTCCTTCTCGGTGCAGGCGGGGGAACAAAAACAAACACAAAACTCAGAAACCCTCACACATACCCTGGAAGAACAGAAAGGTTTCCAACCCAAACGCACAGCTGTTTCTTCGAAGAGCTGGGAATTCAGTCCCGTCTTCTGAATGCACCGAGCTATAGTCCCAGTTCTCTTCCATGTTTTCTTTGTTTGTTTTGAGACAGCCTTGCTGAGACCAGGCTGACCTCGGGAATTCATAATCCTCCTGCCTCAAACTCTGGACGCCTGGGATTACAGACTTGCCATACAGCCTCAAAGCTGCTATGCAGCCAAGGACTGCTTTGAATTTCTGAGCCTCCTGCCTCTGCCTCAAGTGCTGAATAACAGGCCTGTACTGACTACCACACCCAGTTTATTAGGTGCTAGGGACTGAACCCAGGGCTTCCTGAATGCTAGGCAAGAACTCTACAACAGAGCTGCATGCCCAGCCACCTCACCTTCTTAACAAAAGCTAAAACCTTTTTTTTTCGATGCAGAACTGGATCATTTTTATTACCCGAGTAGTCACATTAATCTAAAGCGGCACCTTATCTACACTAGCAACTGAAGAACCAACTTGTGTAACTAATTAGTAGAATATAAAACGAGACTTTAGCTTGCAAATGCTCCCCTTTAGAAAACCACACAAGCATCCCAGAAATCAAACTGCGAGCAGCCAGATTCCATCCCTGACAGCTTGCCTCGATCAGCCCTGGCATTTGCTAGGAGAAAAATGCAGCCGCTTACTACTTCTGGAAGTCATTAGCTTGTCTGCTATCAAGGAACGCTAGGGAACACGTTCGTGAATCCCATCCCAGACCGTAAAGATGTTCAAAGCTCAGCAGGTAAACAGCTACACGTTCTTCTTCTACCGGTTTAGTGATTAAAACAATGCCGACGCAAGAGCTCACGCAAGAGCTCCTGCTCAGGAAAGCAGTAAGCGTGCTCCTTTCTTCTTGCAAAATTAAGTGATGACTATGCTGGTCTCTTGGCAGCAGAATAACTTTTGTTTTCCAACTGGAAGGTATTTCCTCACCACGACAGTGACAGTGGGTGACAGCTGCTAAGTAACTTCCGAGCCAGAATGACACAGCTTCTTTCTGCCAGACTTCACATTCCCTGCCTTCCACCTCCGCCGGAAGGGGAACTTGTTTATTGAAGACACGTTTAACAAAGACTAGCCAAATCCAAAGTGGGCCGACCAATGACGTGGAGGCCCCGGTCACACACCTGGCAGGGCTTGATTTTTTTTTTTTTTTTTTTTTTTCTGAGACTGCTGGATACTTGGAACGGCTTTAGACGAACTGAAGCCCAATGATAGCGTTTTGAAAATTATGGTAGGAGCTCTAAATGAAACAGAAGGTTTATTTTGTACTTCAAAGAGAGCCAAAGAAAACCAGGTACGGCGGCATATGCACCTGTGTAAACCCAGCACTTGTGGGGAATGGCCAAGGCAGGAGGATTGCTGTGTGTCTGAGGATACATAGAGCTACACAGCATGACCCCATCTCAAAAAGGAACAACACTTAATAAAGATTATAAGAACTTCAAGGGTTTGAATCTCTAAGACCCGCAGTTTTATGTTCTAAGCAGGCCTTTGATGGTGGTTCTCTTCTTTACCACAGTGGGCCAGCTTCTTTATACAACAGATCTTTACCAAGAACCTCCCACCCCAGTGTCTGGCCCTGTTCCTCACCTTGCACCAGCTCCCAAGTAGTAGCAGACCACCCCTCCCCAACTCGCCCCTTCTTTTCTTCTTGGGAATCTTCTACCCCCTGAATCTCACTTTGCTCCTTGGCTATGAACTCTGCACTTGGAGTTTAATTCCAGTCTCTTGGCTACTGCAAAATCCCTTCAACAGCACTGGCACTGAACAGGGTCTGTCTCACTGCATGTTAAAATAAGTAATAATTAAAAAAAAAAAAAAAAAAGCCCGGTATGGTGGTTCATGTGTCTGATCCCAGCACTTGAGAGGCAGAGAGAAGCAGGTGAACCTCTGAGTATGAGACCATCCTGGTGAATGTAGTGAGCTCCATGACAGCCAGAGCTACATTATAGAAAGATCCTGTCTCAAAAGACAAAAAAATTCTTTTAATTATTAATAATTATTTTTACCTGGGACTATCCCAGGTCTCTTGGGGGCTTTTTGAACACACAGTGTTCCCAGCTGGGAACACAGCTTATGCAGAACATGTGCTCAGCCCACACAGAGTTCTCTAGGTTAAATCCCCAACAGCCAGCTCCAAAAAGGGCATCCCTCCCTCCAGTCTCAGACAAGGAATGCCAGAGCTCCACCATGTAACCTACCAGCCAGGGTGACAGCCTCCCAGAGCTCCGCCATGTAACCTACCAGCCAGGGTAACAGCCTCCCAGAGCTCCGCCATGTAACCTACCAGCCAGGGTAACAGCCTCCCAGAGCTCCGCCATGTAACCTACCAGCCAGGGTAACAGCCCCCACACAGCACAGCAGCCCCCCACACAGCACGGGTGACCTCCAGTCTATTCCTTTTACTTCCTTGGCTCCATCCCCAAAAGCAATGCACTCTGACCTCAGAGCCAGATACAACCAGTTCCACAGGAACTACAGATAATCTTAAACTTCGAGCTCCTCCTGAACCTCAGCCACTGCCAAAGTGGTACTATGGGAGGGAGGGTGTGACTTTTGTTTTTTTTAAATAATAAAGATGATTACAACATGTGCCCGGTTATTTTTCTAAATATCAACAGCCAGGATAATTTGGGAAAATGTGACGATCTGTAAGAGCCACAAAACTATTTTGGGTGGAAGCATCTAAATTCACCAAAACTCCCTTTAACTACACCAATGCAGATCCAAGTGAGCAGCCGAGTGATGGACGCTTTCGCAATGAGACCCAGAGCTTATTCCTGCCCTCCGGCTTCTGTTAACAAGCCGGGCCGTGTAGCTCAGTGGAAGAGCACTAGCTTAGACTGTGTGAGGCCCAGGGTTCGAAAACCAGCACTGGAAAGGAGAACAGGGTGAGGAGACAGAGACTGCACAATTACATTGGGGGGCGGGAGATGGGGTAGAGTGTTCGGCAAACTGCAGGTATTACTGAAATCAAATACACACAACACGAATTCTAATAAAACCCTACCAAAGGGTCTGTATGCAAAGTCAAATCACCTACGATGACATTCACTAAATGCATGTTCAAGTTGGAATTTTAGAGATCTAAATAAAGCACATCACAATATTAGTCTTACTGCCATTTCCCCCAACAGCCCCTAGTAAGAACCAGAATAACTCCAGCTCTTTACAATAGGAACGTCCTCACTCAGCCCACTGTGATCACTTGGGGGGACCTAAGCAAAAATCAATGCAAATAAGAAGATCTTCTCGGAACATCTGGGGCACTGAAGCTCTAACAGATGGCCTTGTCTAGAGAGTCAAACTTTTATCTCCAGCACCAGAGGGGAGTGTGGGACTTAATTACCAGCTGTCCTAAGCAGCACGCTTGGCCTTGAGGCATTGTTTAACCACTATTGTGAGCCCGGGAATTACAAAGCACACATGGACACAGGGACAGACAGGGAGCTCACAGTCAGTACAAATCACTTAGAGAAAAGCGAGGCAGCTGCAGTGGTCAAAGGCTTGTGATAAACATGCAAAAAGAAGAGAGAGACTGTGAAGTAAAAGCAACGGGGGAGTCCCCATCTCAACCATGTCACTTCGGTTTGGGCTCGTTTGCTGAGGCAGAGTCTTGTTATATAACCCAGAACGGCCTTAAAGTCATGCCTCAGCCTCCCCAGTGCCAGGGATTATGGGGGTGTACCGTCATGCTTTGCTGACTTGGTTTTTAAAATGAAAATATTTTTCCAGGTGAAATGATCCCCTCCTTTTCTGTATGCACAAGTCAGGTTGTGAATAACCATCAAAGCATTCAATGCAAAACGTATTTGAAACCAACTGTTAATAGCATGTTTCCAACCCCCTTTAATAACATTAATATGTAATGCTCACAAAAAAATCTAAGTAACAAGATCCAGCTTCATTTTCATCTTTCTAAGATGAAAAACTAGAGTTTCTCTGGTTTCCTAGGCAGCTGAAAAAAATTATGTAAGCAACAAATATGCCCAAGGATACACTACATCCTACAGACACACTATAAATAGTAATGGTTAGGACTGCAAGCAAACATTTTAAATTTTTACACCAAGAACTCACATGGACCAGACTTCAAAGTCTGGCTTTGACATTTAGTAGCTGGCTACTTTCTTCATTTAAAATAAACAAAAGAAAAAAAAACTATTTTTAGGGATGTTATAAGGCCAAATATAAATAATTTGTATAACATAGTTATATAATATACTTAAAGGTACATAAAGAACACTCATTAAAAGGTCGTTTACTTAAAAAGATTTGGCAATTAAAAAAAATCACATGAACATCACTTAGTACTACCCACAAGCCTTTGGGAGCTGAGAAGCAAAGATCTGAAACAGCGTCACAGAGAGAAGGAGATACCAACCCAAGGTGGTGAAGACCGAAGCCAGATAAATTGCTCTTAATTAAAGTCTTAACAGGAACGGAACTGCTCGAAAATGAAGGTAGTAGCTGTGTTAACAGGAGTTAAAGAGAGGTCAACACAACTGAGAATTAAAAAGTCCACATGACTCACAGGACTCAGGGACAGAATGACGATTTTAAGATGGGAAAAAACTGAGAACTGGGGAAACCTATTCATTTTATGATGCACTTACAAAACTAAATGAAGCTGGGTGGTGGTGATGCGCACTTTTAATCCCGGCACTCAGGAGGCAGAGGCTGGCAGATCTCTGAGTTCAAGGCCAGCCTGGCCTACAGAGCAAGTTCCAATACAGCCAGTGCTACACAGAGAAACCCTGTCTCAAAAAAAAACAAAAAACAAACAACAACAACAACAAAAAACCAAACTAAAACAAAAACCCCCCATTCTATTTGGTATTAGATATCAGTATCTCCAAGTGGCCTTGGATCTAGCTTCCTAGGTTTATTGAGAGTCTAGGTGCTGGTTAGTTTCTGTTGTCAACTACATAATCTAGAGTGCCCTGGGACAAAGAAATCTTAATTAAGGCACTGCCTGATCAGTTGGCCTGTGGCCATGTCCATGAGAAACTGTCTTGACTGATGATTGACTGAAGATGGCACAGCCCACTACGGGCAGCACCATCCCTAGGCAGATGGGTGTGGGCTACAGAGGAAAGCTAGCTGAACACGAGCTAGATTGTGTGTGAGCCAATGAACAGTTCCTCCACAGGTCCTACCTGGAGATCCTGCCCTGACTTCCCTCAACGATGGATTTGTAAACTAGAAGTGTAAGCCGAAGAAACCCTTTCCTCCCCATCTTGCTTTCGGTCACAGTGCTTTATCACAGCAACAGAACAAAACTAGAATATTCTATCAGATTGCTGTCCAGTGTGGTGGCTCAAAACTGTAACTGGCAGTCTGGAGGCTGAGGCAGGAGGATCACTACACCTTTGAGGCAGGAATGGGCTAAAGTGAGACTCTATTTTAACAGAGAAGGAGGGAAAAGGACAGATGGCAAACAAGGGTAAGAGTAGGAGAAGGGGAGGGCTAGCAGGACAGTGTGGGAGGAGACGGAGGGAGGGGGAGAGACAGAGGGAAGGGGAGGAGACAGAGGGAGGGGGAGAGACAGGCACAGACTATCAAGTTCTCAAGGGAAGGTGTGTCTTTAGCTAGAACTATTGGACTTGAGCACTTAGCCGCATACATGTGAGGGATGTTTGCAGCTGTTTTCTCTTTTTACTTTTTGGGGGCCCATCACTCAGCTCCCAAATAAACACATGGAGATTTATCCTTATTTATAAATGTCCGGCCCTAGCTTGGCTTGTTTCTAGCCAGCTTTGTTAACTTAAATTATCCCATCTACCTTTTCCCTCTGGGCTTTTACCTTTCTCTCACTTCTGTAAATCTTACTCTTACTCTGTGGCTTGCGGTGTACCTGGGTGGCTGGACCCTGGAGTCCTCCTCTCCTCCTTTTCTCACTCCTCCCTTCTTTTCTTTCTCTCCTTTTATTTATTCTCTCTGCCTGAGAGCCCCACCTATCGGCCGTTCAGCTCTTTATCAGACCAATCAGGTGTTTTAGACAGGCAAAGTAGCACAGCTTCACAGAGTTACACAGATACAATAAAAAGAGCGCAACACATCTGTACATCATTAAACAAATATTCCACAGCATAAACAAATATAACACATCTTAAACTAATATTCCACAACAGATGTTTGGGATATCTTGCCAAAATATAATCAAAACGGAGTAACACTAACAGCCTCTTAACTTCTAGTGCACATGGAATCTTGTAAAAACTTGCAAGGACAGAAGTGTGCAAGAGGAAGAATGAGTATGTGGTCGGATACATACAGTTGTTTCCTGACAGGCCCGCTCAGGCTGACAATTATAAACAGCTATGGCTGTCTCGAGTTTCTCTGGTTCTGGGAACTATTTAGATTAGAGAAGAAAGGCCCCAAAAGACACATCATCGTTATGGGTTCTGGGGATGTAGCTTGGGGAAAAAAAAGGGAGAGAGAAGAGGAGGGGGAAGAAAACCAGGAAGAGGAAGCAGGGCAAGAGGAGGAAAAAGGAAGAGGAAGCAGCATCAGCAGCTGTTACAGCTCATTTGTTATGAAGATGTATTTTCAGAAATCATCTAGTTATGTCTGGATGTAAAATCTCTATTGTATACATAAAAGTCATAAATAGGCAAGTATATAAAACTCTATTATAAATTTAAAATATAACCAAGCACTAGAGAGCATATGGGTATAATTTGTTAGCTGTGCTAAGAACCTTTAGGGTAGGAAAAGGACAGAACCCGGGATAATCTCAGATTTGAGAAACATATTCGCAGATACTTACAATATGCAAAAGTTTTAACACATCCACAAACCTGTAAAAAAAAAAAAAAAAGCAGTAAGAACTTTTTAATAAGCCAACTGGGAAGAAGAGTCTTCTGAACTGTTAAGCTGGTACCTACACTTTCTCAGAGCTCATGATCTCCTTGGCAATGTGACGGACTTTGCTTTTCATCTCAGCATCTTCATCCTGCAGATAAAGAGTGCATTGAGAAAGTATGAATTCATAAACATGGGATCAGCTCTGATATGAGCTGGTTAGACATGCAATTTCATCCTGGTCCTTAGGTTTTTCTGAAAGCACACAATTTATACTACACAATACCTAACGGCAAACATGGGAGTAAATTAAATAAGATGACACACCATGATAGAGAAAAATCACAGGAGCTGAGAGAAATCAGGAATGCAATTGGGGGACAGGCGCCTTTAATCTTAGCACTGGAGATTTAGGCCAGCCTGGTCTACACAGTGAGTTCCAGACCAGCCAGGGCTAAATAAACAGTTCAACATGGAAATATCATATCCTATGAAGAAAACACCTAGGCGTATCACAAGAAACCTAGGGAAGATGGAGGGTTCTAGGCCAATTTTGACAACACTACAAGACTGAATTAAAAAAATAAATAAAAATAAAAGTACTCTTGATAATGCAAGAAGATGTGTTATGAAGAACTATTAATGGGTTGTGTAGGTCAAATCACTGTCATTCTACAAGTACAGTTAATCAGGGCTCGTCAAGACAGTATATATCTGGCATCATCCCAAGGACATCTTTTCATTATTTCTCTGTGTGAACATTACATGCCCCAGCGAGGACACAAACTGCCCATGTCTGGGGGAAAAATGAAGATGACTTGGAAAGTGCTTTTGACATTTAGCTGAGTTTGCTGTTGTTTGCAGGGGACAGACGGAAGAAATTTCTCTTTCTATTCTCTGAAAGATCTGAAAACACGGTTCCTTCGTGAAGAGGAATAAATAGTAAATAAGGAACACGCAATGAAAACATTTCCTTGAGATGAAATGACAGCTGGAACGAGGGTGGGGATAAAACTTAGCAGTACAAGTTTGCTCAGCATACCCAGGGCCTTAACCCCGGAGCAGAGCACGTATGTACATGCTCATGAACACACACACACACACACACACACACACACACACACACACACACACACAAATAAATTAAAATTAAAGAGTGATTTCCACGACTATGAAAAGGGAGAAGCTCCGATGCTTCTGTAGAAAAGCATCAGGCCCCATTTCGTAAAGTTTCTTTCTTTTTCTTTTTTTTTTCCATTCTTGTTGCTTTGTTGTTTGCCTTCTTTCCAGCATTGGCAGCACCAAGACAGTTACTTTGTGCCGCCTCAAGAACTAGTGGGCAAGGAAATGCATAAAAAGTCACCATGGCAATCCGCTAGCCATTCATTAACAGAATGCCACTGGGGTCGGGTGGGGGATGTGTTCAGCAGTGGCTCTCAGAAGCAGCCTTCTCTCCACTGAAAAGGTGCACCATCCCAGCGGATCCACTTAGCACTGCGACACTGCAGAGGATTATCTTAGTCCTTCATTTCTTTTAAATTTTCTGTGGTGCTGGGTATCAAATAAAAAGGGCCTTCAGCATGCTAGGCAAGTGCTCTACCACTGAACTACACTCAAGCCTTTTCTTAGTCCTGAAATTGGTTTTCATACGGCTCCAGAATTTCCATGTCAAAACAAAGATAGAAAATAAATGCAGTTTTAAAATGAGTCAACTCTCTGGGAGAACACATTTTAATGATAGCTAAAATGTGTGGCTGCTTGTGTTCTGTACATACTTTAGAGTCCTCTTATCTACTTAGCTAAGCATAGCCCCATGAGTCCAGTGGGTAATAATGCTTAAATTTTCATTTCAATTTGTTTTGTTTCATTTTGAGACCGGGCTTTGCAGTAGCCCAAACTGGCCTCAACTCAGTCTTCCTAGTTCAGCCTCCTGAGTTCGGGGATACAGGCACAATCACACCTCCAAAAGTTCATATATTTTGTTCTAAATGTTCTTCAATAGGTTTAGATTCTGAATTTTGTTTGTTTGCTCCAGTGCTAAGGACTGATCTAAGAGATGTGCACATGCTAGATAAGAGCTCTACCAGGGAGTTCACATACTCAGCCCCCAGGAATCCAGACATATATTTATTGACTTCCTCATTTATTTTAATGTGTATGTGTGAGTGTGTGTGCACCAAGCACATGTAGGAGCCATTGGAGGCCAGAAAACGGCACTGGATCCCCTGGAACTAGAGTCAAGAGACAGCTGTGAGCAGCCATGTGGGTGCTTGGAACCGAACCAATGTCCACACAAGAGCAACAAGTAAGCACTCCTAACCACTGAGCCACCTCTCCAGCTCCTGGAAATTCTTTTTAAATTGTAGTCATGTCTGTGCTCATGTAAGTTAGAAATACAGGGGAGATCTTTGTTTTTATGTTCATTTTAAAAACTGCTTTGGAGACGCTTAGATCACAAATAGTAGTTGTAGTCCTAAGGATGAATACGTTCAGATACAGCAAATATATACACGAAGAGCAGAAGACTCACTGACTACAGAGACTGAAAGTTGATTATTAGGAGTTTGGGTGGGGGTTATGGTCAAGAGAAGAGGCTTGCCCAGCATGCTTGAGGTCCTGGGTTTGATCCTCAGCAATACACCTAAAAATGGAGTGAAGTGAAAAGAAAATCCAGATTTCCAATTATTCATCTAAAAAGTATTGTATCACTGTATCACAGGACAGGGAGATGACGTCATTAGTAAAGTGCTTACTATGAGCATATGCAAGCTTGAAGATAGTTAAAAAAAAAAGGTGTGGCACTGGGCACCTGTGACCCGAGCATGCGTGGAGACAAGAGGAGCCCTGAGTATGCTGTCCAGCTGTCTAGCTGGAATACTGAGCACAAAGCAGCTTCAGGGAAAGACCATTCCCCCAAACAGGAGAAGAGCAATTAAGAAAGACATCGCATCTAAACCCGGGGGTGGCGGTGGCGGTGGCGGTGGCGCATGCCTTTAATCCCAGCACTCGGGAGGCAGAGGCAGGCGGATCTCTGTGAGTTCGAGGCCAGCCTGGTCTACAGAGTGAGTTCCAGGGCAGGTACCAAAACTACACAGAGAAACCTAGTCTCAAAAAACCAAAAAAAAAGGGGCTGGAGAGATGGCTCAGAGGTTAAGAGCACTGACTGCTCTTCTAGAGGTCCTGAGTTCAATTCCCAGCAACCACATGGTGGCTCACAACCATCTGTAGTGAGATCTGGTGCCCTCTTCTGGCCTGCAGGGATACATGCAGGCAGAACATTGTATACACAATAAATAAATCTTAAAAAACCAAAAAAAAAAAAAAAAAAAAAAAGACATCTGACATCTTGGGTCTCCATAGACAAATACATATATGTACACACAGAAACACACACACACACAAAATGTATAAAATTAAAATTTACGGTATTAAATAGTGCATCATTTTTAACTTCTGGTAGTAACCCTAACACATTTCCCCAACATTCACCGCTAAGCACACACCCAATATAATTAATTACTTTCCTATCAAGACATGACAAATCCAAACATTCTACAATATTCACATTAAATATTCTTTTTGTGAAATGTAACACTAACCACTAATTTTTTTTTTCTTTTTGAGGCAGAGACTCATGCACTCAGGCTGGACTCAAATCTGTTGTATGGCAGACTGGACGTAAACTCCTGGTCCTCTTGCCTATACTTCCTGAGGGCTGGGATTGCAGGCGGGTGTTGCCTGTACCTGTCCCTTCCGTGGTTTCTTTTATCACAGAAAAGTTTGCATGCAATGTCAAGAAACCCTTCTACTGATATAGACTATTCCGCCAAAAATACTCAGAGAAGGCAATAACCCAACTATTTACGGAAAGAATCTTTAAGTGGCAAATGTAAGGGCAGTTTTTCCTGTCAAAACACTTGAGAAGAGGGCACCTCCACTGAGAAACCGCCTCGAAGCCTGAGCTATTACCTGTGGAGCATTCCCTTGATTGCTAACGTACGTACAGGAGCTCAGCCCACAGTGGGCAGTACTCTCTCCTTGGACAGGTAATCCTGGGCAGTCGAGGAGAGCTGAAGGTGAGCCTGGAATGGAGCCAGTGAGCAGCATGCCCTTGTGCTCTCTGCTTCAGTTCCGGCCTCCAGGTTCCTACCTTGACTACCAGAGCTTTGGCTTCCCTCAATGATGGACCGTATCCTGGAAGCCAAAGAAACCCTCTCCCGTCCCACCTTGCTTTCGGCTATGCTATCTATCCCAGCAACAGAAACCAAACCAGGACGGCTGACTACTAACTCAGAGTACATGCAAATGCAGTCTAATTAGCATGTTTCTCCTTTTCCTCCGCTCTCCATTTCCACTGCTAACGGGGTTTGTCTTCTGCCCCCACTAACATCCACTTTTCTAAAGCGGGTTCGTGAATGGTTAAGACAAACGCGTGCGTAAGTTTTGTTCAACTCAACTCCAACCACTCGCTTTCCACTCCATTTTTAAACAGAAGGATAGAGACGTGGCTAACACCCTTCAGGAGACGCAATCTGACCTTGCAGACCAGATCTCAGTCATGCACTAATGGAGGGGAATGCATATGTGTTTGCACACATGTACCCATGGATAACCGATATTCTGAATACTTACCAAATCAATGCTTTTCTAATTACATTATGCATTTCTCCTTATGCCTGTTACTATAAGGTTAATGCTAATGAAGGACAATACATAGTTTTAAAATTAGAAATTCACTAAAGGCCTAGGAGTATAGTTCAGTAATGCATAGAAAGTTTGAGACCCTACATTTGATCCCTAGCACTATTCCCACCTCCTCAGCTCCCAACCCCACATATATTAACCGACAAATCAAGAAGGTGTGGACTAGAGAGATGGCTCAGCAGTAGAAAGCACTTGCTGGCCAGGTACAGTGGCGCACATCTTTAATCCCAGCAGGTAGGGCGCAAGGACAGTCAGATCTCTGTGAGTTTGTGATCAGCCTAGTCTCCATAGAGTTCCGGATCAGCCAGGGCTACACAGAAAGACCCAGTCTGAGGCGAACAAACGATATTTGCTGTTCCTGTACAGAATCGGGGTTTAATTCCCAGTACCCACATGGCAGCCCACAACCACTGTAAGACCATTTCCAGGAGATCCAGTGTCCTCGCTGCTGTCACAGTCAAAACAGACATGTGAAACAAAGCTTTCTTTTCAGGTATAATTATTTTGGCATTTGCCTTATTTCCTTTCCTCCTCTTAGCACTGGGGCTCTACTCTCTGCTGAGGGCCTTGTTCTACTGAGCCTAAATCAGCCAGAACCATGTAGAGTGGGACCCTCCATATTATGCAGATACACCATCCCTAGGCAGACAGCATGCTTCTACTACAGCGAATGACAAAATTACAGACTAGAAAACTTGTTTATACATCATAATTCTGAAAAAGGACTAGTATCCAGAATACACACACGCGCGTGCGCGTGTACACACACACACACACACACACACACACACACACACACACACACACACCCCTCTGATAACCATGGGGCTCATCAGTTCAAGAGCACTTGTTGTTCTTGAAGAAGACCCAGGTTCAGTTCCCAGCACCTACATAGTGGCTCACAGCCATCCATAACTACATTTCCAAGTGATCTAATGACCTCTTCCAGTACCAGGCATGTATGTGGTACACAGAAATACACATAAAATAAAAACATTTTTTTAAAAAAACCTCTGCTAACTCAAAAAACTCAGAAATGAGAACAGATGTGAGCAGACATTTCACCAGCAGACGTAAGAATAGCCAGCACGTACAGGGAAGTGTTTTGACATAGTTCTGTTAAAACTACAATGAGATAAGACCTCACACCCACAGAACAGCTATAACTCAAACCATCAATCAAGGCAGGCACAGTGGCACAAAGTTGTAAGGTAGGAGGATCAGGAAGTGGAGGCCAGCCAGGCTACACAATGAGATCCTGTCCCAAAACAAACAAACAAAATGCAGGAAGTTGAGGGAGAACGGTCTCGAACTGTAAGCCATCCTAGACTATCTACTGAGACACTGTCTTGAAATACAAAACCAAGTAGGCTTTGGCGAGATGTGGAGATACTGGGCCTTGTACCCACTGCAGGTGGGCATGGGAGCCCTTATGACGGGGGTTTCTATAGTTACCTAATATCATGGTATCATGGAGACAAAATTTACATCTCTCTCTTTCTTTTAAATGTTTTAAGTTCCATTCTCTCTCTCTCTCTCTCTCTCTCTCTCTCTCTCTCTCTCTCTCTCTCTCTCTCTCTCTCTCTGTGAACATGAAGGTCAGAGGTCAGCCAGCAGGAGTTGATTCTCTCCTTCTACCATGTAGGTCTCATATATTAACTTCAGGTCATGGAGTCTGGCAGCTTGGTGGCAAGCATCTCTACCCACTGGGCCATCTCACCAGCCCGTACTTCTTCTCCTGGTATCGTGAGCTTGTTCCCGAGAGGAAGGAGTCAGTGGCATCCTCATGCCATCCTTCTACAACACGGAGCTACTATCTGATCTCGCTGACATCTGACAGCAAAGTCAGTATAAGAAAGAGCTCCACGGCAGCCAATCCACTGCTCTGAAGCCGGGGCTGACGCTACTGACCACCAGAATCACAAGGACAGACAGCTTACAGTTCAGAGTCCCAGGTAACTGTTTCAAAACTTTAAAACCATGGATCAGGGATGGAGTGTGAGCATTTGAAGAAGGGATTTAAAAAATAGCCCAGAAAAGGGCAAGCAAATATAAGCACAGCACAAACATGTGTGTATGTATGAATATATATATATATATATATATGTAGAAATACCATAATGAAACCCATTATTTTATATAACTAGAATTTATTAAAAAGAAGTAGCCACAATCTTCAAGAAGTGAGCAAAGGGAATAATCAACCCACAACAGACTCTCACAACTCTGACCCTGCTGGGCATCTAAGGAGACCACACAGAGGCAGAACATGGAATCAGGAAGGCTTCCCACAGAAGACGCATCTGATACCCGTCAGTCACTGTAAACATTCAAACAACACCTTCAAGTGTGGTGTTCGGACAGGCTGCCCACAGGAGCACAGACCCATGCACAGCTGCCTTAATATGGGATCAGCTATGAGCTGGTTAGACATGCATTTTAGCCCTGGTCCTTTGGTTTTTTTCTATAAGTGCACAATTCATACTACGCAGCACAGAGAAGGCTCTCCTCGAGATCTGCTCCTCTAACTCAAGAGCGTCATCCAAAGTGAGTGTAACTGTCTTGCATTTCCTCCCCTAAAAATTCCCTTAACCAGGGAATATGAAAATAGGAAAAGGTCTCCGCCTACTGAGACCTGCTAAAGACAACCCTCTCCCTTCTTTCCGAGGACTGCCACCCAAGAGAGACTTGATCTACCCAGTGACACCCGGTGCTCACAGCACATCCTCATCTACCTTCACTTCCCTATGAACTGTATGGCTCTCCTTGGTGTTCCTTATTTTTGTGTGACTCCCACACACATGCTAACAAATGTGCCCGCCTTTTCTCTAGCTGCTGTGCCTATTCAGCTTATCCCTGCTGACTCAGACAGGGAACCTGTGGAGGAAGTGAGAACTTCCTTATACCTACTGCACATGCCCATGCATCAATGCCAGAAACCTGAATTTCTCTTCCTTGTCAGTACCTCCTTCTGAGTCAGCAAAGCCTGCTAACTTAGCCTTGTGACTATTTCCTTAACGCTCAGTTGATCCGTCCCTTAACTGAGTGTGTTGGACTTCTGTCACTTGACAAAACACCCAACACCCAGCTCAGGAGAGATCTAACTGACTCAGGGTTCCCGGACTTCGGTCAGTGGTCTCTGTACTGCTCTGGGCCCACGGCGGCAGAGTACATCAAGGCAGGAGCGTGTGCAGAGGAACCGCCTGACTCAACAACTGTGGGAGGCCGAGGGAAAGGCAGGATGCCTCACAGCGTGTCCACCAACTCTCTTTTCCTCCCACTCCTCCACACCCCTTACCTGAAGGCAGCCAAACTGGAACTACCTGGTGATGCCACGTGAGTTCTGCCCTTCCTGGTCTCTTTCTAGACACCTTTCCTTTGTTCTGGAATTCCCTTCTGGTCAAGACCATCTTCCCTTCCAAGGATCTGACTGCCATGCTCCAGTTCACTCTGAGATAAGAGTCACAGGTCTTCCCTTTATGGAGGCTGCCCTGATACTCTCTTCTGACACCTTCAACGGACTAGATTACTCTCTTGTTCCCATATCATTTAAGACACCCAGTGGATTGTTACTCTCTGTTGAAATCTCCTAGTGCTCTCTAGTCTACCTATTTACTTTTGTATCCTTCTGAACAGAAACACAGTGCCTACTCCACTGTTCAATGAAAATTCATGAACAAGTAAATGTGTACACATGGCTGCCATCGTCTTAGAACCTGAGACCATTGCTGGCTTCAGTGGCACGTGTGCTAAAATTGGAACGATACAGAGAAGATTGGCATGGCCTCTGTGCAAGGATGACAAGGAAATTCATGAAGCGGTCCATAAAAAAAGAAAAAAGAAAGAAAGAAAAATAAAAAAAGAACCTAAGACTAGAGCACATGGTTTGATATGTTACATAACATAAAATACAAACGCAAACTCAAAATCTGTGGCACATACAATAAAGTATAGTGGCTTGAACTGAATAAGGGAATTTAATCTAGGAGTCTACGTAGTTATCCGTTTTGTCTTTTTCTATGATTTATTTTATTTTTAGATCTGTTTGGGGGTGTATTTTGCCTGTGTGAATGTATGTGCACTGTATGTGGACTTGTATGTGCGCTGTATGTGGACCTGGTGCCTTCGGAGGTCAGAGAGGAGGCTGGATCTGCAGATGGTTGGGAGCCACTATGTAAGAGCGAGGAACTGAACCTGGGTCCTCTTAGAGAACAGAAGGAGGTCTTAACCACAGAGTCATCTCTGCAGCCCCTTACTTTAAGTTTTTGGGCCATGGTCTTACTATATAGCCTTGGTTGGTCTGGAACTCACTACATAGATCAGAAGGACCTCAAACTCATATTATTGCCTGCTTCTGTCTTTCAAGCGCTGGGATTAAAGGTATTTGCCACCATTTGCTCCACCTAAGATTTATTTTAATGGTGTGAGTGTGTGTGTGTGTGTGTGTGTGTGTGTGCGCGCGCAGATGCTCACAGAAGCCAAAGCTTCAGCTGTGAGCAGCCTGACACGGGTTCTGGGTACCTGCTAGGAACCAAATTCTACAGGAGCAAACGGTCCTGGCTCTGAACCACTGGGCCATCTCTCCAGGCCCCTATGTTTCCTTTTAAGCCAGGAAAATTACAGAGTTAAATAAAGGCATGTTATTAGCAAGGAAATCAATGGGTTGTAGTCATTTGAAAGTAGGAAAAAGTCAAAGAACAATAAATATTAAAAGTTCTATATTCTCTCCATCTTGTAAGAACAGTCACTGATTCGGACCCAGCAAAACAATGATGGGAACTGGTCTTGAAAGACCTCAAGAGGCATGGTTGGCATCTCAGACTTCTCAGCTAATGAAATTGTATCACATTTCAAAGCAGACTGCCTCTTAAATAACAACACCTCCCCAAAGTAAAGCATATTGTTATGGAAGTCAAAACACTAGCCACAGACAAATGAAAACACGTTGTCAAGGGTCATAAAGTAAGTCCCACAAATTCCAAAGCAGAACCTTTGATCTGAAATCCAGTGATATGCTCTGATCTTTGGATAACAGCCCAGCTTTGTAAGTTCTTACCAGTGTTCTCTTCATTTCATAGTTGCTCAGTACCAGTGATGTCCAATGATGTTTTCCCAGTGTGTTTAATACCAAGAGGCCTTCTCTATCATACTCGAGAGTTCTACTTGCAAGAGAAGAATGTCAACAGCAAGACCTGCCCAAGGCACAGCTCTTTATCATTTTTACGTCAAAGATGAGGTGATATCATGATAATACCTAAGGACAATGTCCTGTCCAATCTCTACTCTTCTCTTCACAAAGGAATAATCATGAGCTACTTTCAGAAGATTTGAAAAGGAACCGAGAAACAAATATTCTGAGAAGCTACAGAGTACATGTTCTAACCACAAAGAAACAAAAGGAATACACTCCTTTTTAAAATTTAATTTAATTTTTAAATTTATTTCTTTAGAGTAAGTCTCACTAAATTGTCTTGGCTGGCTGGGAATTGACTATGTAGAACAAGATGGCCTCAAATTTGCAGGAATCCTCCTGTCTCTGCCTTCCAAATTCGAAGGCCATGGGTATGAGCCACTATGCCCCAACACGTTTCTTTAAGACAAACACTTATTAAAAACTGAAAGAACAATAGACTACAATCTGAAGAACTTCCAGGGAGCTAGAGAGACGGCTCAGATGGTAACGTGCCTGCCACACAAGTACAAGGGCCTGAGTTCAGATCCCCAGTGCCGACACAAAAAAAACTGGACAAGCCAGCAACCACTCCTCTTGCTGAAGCGGTGAGCTCCAGATTCAGGAAGAGCTCCTATGGAAACAACAAGGTGGATGAAAATAGACCTAGCCACCTGACAATGACCCTTGACCTCTATGTGTACGTGCACAAGCACAGATACCTGTTCAACACTCCTTCACACATACGTACACACCTAAGAATTTCCAAAGGGAATTAATACAGATTTCCATGGCTTATTACTCTCCTCCCAACATGTTCTATGGACATCATTTAGCTTCTGTGAACGATGCACCAATTTGTTAGCAGAAACAGACTGTAATTAAAAACTCCAAATCAGGGGTTTTCAAGCAGGTTACACAGCCTTTCTACAATCCCTTTACCTCACATGAATCAAAGACAGTACACACTCTAGATCCCGTGGGAAGTTTTTGCTGTTGTTTGGGGATTTTGGGTTGTTGCTATTGTTTGAGGCAGGGTCTCACTTTCCAGCCCTGGCTGGCCTCGAACTCACAGAGCTCTATCTGCCTCTGCCTCCTAAGGGCTGGGATTAAAGGCATACAGCATGACACCTGGCTGTTTTTATATGCCATAAAATGTGGTTTTACTCTTTAAATAGTTCAGTGGTTCTTAGTGAGTTCAGGGCTGTGCAGCCACCATCACAATCTAAATTTAGAATTCTTCCTTATCTCCCAAAACACTCCGTGCCCGTTACTAGATACTCTCCGTTCCTTCCTATGACCAAATACCACTCCACTGTGTAGATACAGCACACCTGGTTTTTTCACTTTTCAGTTGACGAGCATTTAGATCCTCTCGTTGTGGTAGTAGTGCTCGCATCTAGCTGCTGCTCAGACCACAGAATCTGCGGCAGCCACCATTCCCCTCTCGGACACTGACAGACTCCCTACTAAGACATGGCGAATCTCTAGCTAACAGGCTTTCAGGTGCCTGAGCACCTCACCTGGGGTGAATCAGTAACAAAGAGAGTACTGGTGACCACACATCCTGCTCCCCATCTTCTTCCCTTCCTCCTGCCCGGGAATCAGAGAGCCTGACTGCAGGCAGGTGCTGTGAAACTACCACCATTCTCAGAGCGTCACTTTTGCCAGGTGGGTCCTAATTTTCTCTCCTCACAGCCCCCACCATGCTGTCTATTGATGGGCCAGGAGCACAAACTCTCCTCAGAGCCCTCACCATGCTGCTATCGGTCTGTCTCTCCATGGCGTCAACAACTATTCTCATCAACTTCTTACCTCCAGCAATCCATCTTAGCATCCCCTTAAACTCCCACCTGAGACCTTTCAACTATGAACAATGATAATATGAACATTTTGGTACATGCTTTGGTGTAGACATATATTTTCATTTCTCTTGAATAAGCAGGTACTAAATTTAGAATTTGGGGGCCACATACTGACTACAGTTAAGCTTTTGAAGAACTTCAACTATTTCACAAAGTACTTCTTCTCCTTTGAAATCCTCCACATTCTCACCAATACTTCTGTTGTTATTTTTGAGTTACGGTCTAGTTACAGTGTCCTGGCTGGCCTGGAACTCATTATGTAGACTGGGCTGGCTTTGAACTCATGTCAATCCTCCTGTCTCTGCTTCCCCAAGTGCTGGGGTTATAGCCATGTGCCATGGAACCTGATTGAAAGTAACTATTTGTTCAAGGTCAACCAGCATAGCAGAGCTAAGTCTGAAATACAGTCTTCCCTACTGAAACACAACAGTGTCTTGAATACAAAAAACCTGCTTCCTTACTCGGCAAAGACAAGGGACATGTTAAACAGTATGTATTCATTGGCAAACTCATGGAATGCTTGCTATGAAATGTTTAAGATTTCCCTTGCTTTATGTAACCAGTAATAACTAAAAATCTGTTGTGCACTTGCTGTGGGATGTCCTTCTGTACACTGTGAATATATGTTGCTCTCATTGATTAATAAAAGCTGACAGGCTGGTAGCTGGGCAGGAAAGCCAAACTGAGAATGCTGGGAAGGAGAAGGGCGGGAGTCAAGGAAGTCACCAGCTAGACGCAGAGGAAGCAAAATGAGAATGTCTACTGAGAAAAGGTACCAAGCCACATGGCTAAACACAGATGAGAATTATGGGCTAATTTAAGTGAAGAGCTAGTTAGTAATAAGCCTGAGCAAATGGTCAAGCTTTTATAAAATGACATGGAGACTCTGAGTGGTTATTCGGGAACTGGAGGGCAGGAGAGAACAGTCCGGCCACGTGCACTCACTCTGTGCAGACACTGTCCTCAGCAGAGCTACCATCTCATCACAGCCCTTGGAATAAGGGCACCATCAACCTACAGTCTACTTATTTTTATTCTTCAGAAAGGGAAACAAGGATTTAAAGGAAGTAAGTTGATCAAAATCACAGAGCTTGGGAGAGATGGGAACCCAAACAATTTCATCCCAAAGACTGTGTTCTCCTAACCACTATGAAAGCAAATGACCTAAAGACATTCACTAGGCTATGGTTAGGCGGGTTAACAGCTGTCTAGAAAGGGAGCACTAACATATTCTACTACTGCTGTTGTTCCAGACAAAGAGACACAATGTATGTTCCTCAGAGCAGCTGAGAATTCTAAAGGAGAGACATTATTGATGCTACTGGTACAAAGTTAAAACAAAAATGCTACATGTCCACAATTAACTAAAAAGAAGTCCCATTAAAAAAAAGAGGGGTGGGGCCAGTGAGATGCCTCAGTGTGTAAAGGTACTTGCCACATAAACCTAAAGAGCTGATTCCCATCCCTGAAATCCACACAGGGTAGGAGAGAACTGACTCACATAAACTGTCCTTTGAGTTCTACAAATCTGTGATAGTGCATGTGTGTGTGCACACATGCACACGCATAAATGATTAAAAAAGGTAAAGATTTAGCAGGCATATTGCAATATGTCACAAGAGGATATGAAACTATGAAATAAAGACAAGAAGGAAAGGCAGGCACAGAGACAGAGGGAGAAGCCTTAGGTTAAGGAATATTTGTACACTGTGTGAAGATGTGCCCTTGTGATTGGTTTAATAAAAAGCTGAACAGCCAATAGCTAGGCAGGAGAGGTTGGGTGGGACTTCCGGGTAGAGAGAGGAACTCAGGGTTAGAATCTAGGCATGTAAGAGATGCCAGCCAGACACCAATGAAGTGGGACATACAGCATGGAGGAGAGGTAAAGAGCCACGTGGAAGAATGTAGGTAGATTAATATAAATGGGTTAATTTAAGTCATAAGAGCCTAAGCTAAAGGGAACAAGCCTAAGCTAAAGGTCAAGCTTTCATAATTAATGAGAAGTCTCCGAGTCATTATTTTGGGGGTGGCGGTCCCGAAAGAAAATCCAACAAGACAGACCTACTCCACTTAGGAGTTTCCACTGAGCACAAAACGCAGGAGTGAGCCCGGCAGTGACAGAAGGTGACGTCGGAACATGTCAGAGCCTTCCCTAACACCGTGAACCAGTCGGAGCTCCAATGCTAGGTGGAGATGACCGTGGCTCCCGCTTCAGTACAGAGAGAAACTGGACAAGGTCCAAGGGAAAGGAACAGGAGAGAACAGCAGTGTGAAGCAGGAAAAGCAAGAGGACAGCCCGATGTTAATGACGGCTCTCCCACAGTACTGTTTGAATGTTCTCTCTCAAGCTCTCCACAGGCTCTGGCTCTCTGCCGTCATTGAAATTCTGGTCAAATATCACTTTCTCAGAGGCTTCCATCCAAAGCAGCCACTGCCCTTTCTAGCACATGACTGTTAATGTTCATTCGCAGCCTGGAAACACTGAGCTTCTTCCTGTTTAAGGGTTTTGGTCCCTCTTCCTCCCCCATTGGGATCAAGGGCCACGGTCACTGCTAATGTCTGACCAACACGGAAGCTACCTGGGACATGAGGGGTATCCTTGACATACTGCAGGATCTGTATCAAGAACAAGCAACACAGAAAGTGGGCTTGCAAAAGAGAGCCTGAAAGGTGTGAGTGAGGCACTGGGACAGTGCCATTACAGTCAAGCAACTCCCTCCGACTGCTGAGTAAGTGTACCTGTAACGGTCACTCAGCTGTCGGGAGCTGCACAGATCCCTCTGCCTAAGTAAGTTCTAGCGATTACTTCCAATAACCTGATCTGATACTTAATCCTGTCGAATAGGGGGTAGGGTGTGGGAAGGTGTATGGGGGGGGTGCCTGTTTGTTTTTGAAACAAACAAAGAAACAAAAGCATAAATCTCTGGGGCATCCGATTGCTTTCGAGACAGTGCCTTACTCTATAGCCCACGCTAATCTGTGACTTACTTAATCTGGAACCTAAACTCTTACTGTTTAAGCCCCAGATAGCCTTGAACGCGTGCCAAACCTCTTGCCTCAGCCTCTTAACTGCTAGAATTACAAATGTGCTACCACACCAGGTTCAGAAATTAAGTCTCATCGGCGAACAACAGAATCACTGAGCTCGAACCCCATACTGGATAATATTCTAAATTTTTTTCACACATGAGATCTTTTATAAATAATATTTTGATCTCATTTACAAAGTGGCATTCTTTAAACCAAAAAGATTAATTGGCTTCAAGGAACCCAAATCATAGCTGGTAACCCATTTTTTTAATATTTACTTATTTTATTATTTTACGTGTTTACGTGGTTTTGCTTGCATGTATGTATGTGCACCACATGACAGATCAGAAGAGGGTGTCAGATCCCAGCTGGGGTTACAGACAGTTGGGGGTCATCATGAGGGCACTGGGAATTGAGTCCAGGATCTCTGTAAGAGCAAGAAGGGCTCTGAACTGCTGAGCCAACTTCCAGCCATGGAACCCAATCTTAGATAACCACGCTGTGCCATTCATTAAAGGGTAAAAGCAAATTCAAACAGTGCAACAACATGCTAAGCAGGAAGCATGGATTTGCAAAACACCACAAGGCGACAAGGGTTTCCTCCTTGGCTTGCTATGTTGTGAGGAGCCTTTAACATTCCATTCTGTGAGACTCCCAAAATGACACGGGGACACTGCTGTCATGCTAATTGTCTCCCTTTCATAATATCTTATTCAGATGTGATTTCAAATGCAACATGTAGATGTTTATAATAAACTAAAACAGTACAATGAATTTCCCTATCATAACCTTTATGAACATATGGACAATCTTCATGTCTCCCAAACACACACACACACACACACACACACACAAGCATGACTACATACACACATCACCCATCCTCACTGGATTTGTTTAAGGACATGATGACTACGTTAGTAACAGTGAGAGAGTTAACCCACTCATTGTCACCTTGACAGGGTCTATAATAACACAGGAGACAAGCTTCAGGGCACAGCTATGAAGGAGTATCCCTGTGCTGGCTGGTTGTGTGTCAACTTGACACAAGCTGGAGTCATCTGAGAGGAGGGAGCCTCGATTGAGGAAACGCCTCCGTAAGATTAGTGAGTGGGCAAGCCTATAGGACATTTTCTTAATTAGTGATTGACGGGGGAGGGCCTAGGCCATAGTGGGTGGTGTCATCCCTGGGCTGGTGGTCCTGGGTTCTGTAAGAATGCAGGAAGAGCAAGCCAGAGGGAACAAGCCAGGAAGCAGCTCCCCGCCATGGCCTCTGCATCAGCTCCTGCCTCCAGCTTTGAGTTCCTGCTCGCTTCCCTCACTGACTGTGGTTCAGGACGTGAAAACCCAATCAACCCTTTCCTTCCCAGGTTGCTTTTGGTCACAGTGTTTCACCGCAGCAGTAGTAACTCTAAGTAAGCCGAACCCCGTTGGGTTAACTGACATGGGAGGACCCACCTTGACTGTAGGTGGGTGGCACCATGCCATGGCTGGAGTCCTGGACTAAACACAAGGGGAGAGCAAGCTGGGAACTAGCATCAGGCACTCTGTGTCGACATCCGGGACACGAGGGACTGCACCCTTGAACTGTGAGCCAGTTATCCTCCTTCCCTTAAGTTGGTTCCTTGTCAGGTATTTTACAGCAGCACCATGGGAAGTAACTTGTACAAAGAGCAATCTTTGTTCTGTCCTTAAAAAGACGTGATCAGGGCAGTGAGGTAGCTTAGTGGCTAAAGACGATTGCTGCAAACCTGAAACCCCGAGTTCGAACCTGCAAGCCTCGTGGTAGGGGAGGACTGACTCCTGCAAGTTGTACCCGACTTCCACATGTGTACCACCGCACATAAGCATGCTCGCTAATGTGCCCCCCCCCAAACACAATAAACTTATTTTTAAAAATTTTAAAGATGTGATCAAGCCTCAAACACATATATTTCCCTTCTTTCAAGAAATTTAAGAACACCCTGGGGTGTGGTGGCTCATACCTATAATCTCAGCACTCCGAAGGCTGAGGCAGGAGGATTGCTATGATTCAATGCCAGACTAGGTTATACTGTCTCAAAAACAAAACAAAACAAAACAACAACAAAAAAAACCCCACAGTGTGCTAGAGAGAGGGCTCAGTGTTTAAGAGCACTGGCTGTTCCTCCAAAGAACCCAGGTTCAAATCCCAACTCACAACTGTCTGTCTGTAACTCAGGCTCCAGGGGATGTAAGACGTGCATGCAGACAAAACAACCATACACATAAAACGAAACAAAAAAACAAAACATAAAAAATCCACAGCAAAGAAACGTGAGAATTAGTGGCAGGACAAGAACAATCCCTAAGAGAGATTCATGATCCAGACATAACTATGTATGTTTATACATACATACATGCACATATAAAAAGCCTGTGGACATTAGTAAAATAACTTCTCAAAAACCACTAAATAATCCTTAGGTTGGATATACAACAGTGTAGGTGCTCCATTACAGCAGGAACAAGACTTAAACTTGAAAAGCATTTCCAGACTAACTCACTAACGAGGGCTGTTACTGTTTTCCTATCAGTGTGATAAATAGCATTCCCATGCACAGAGACAGGCCAAGAAAAACAAAAGCAGAAATAATTAATTGTCAAAATATACCTGTTTATCTTCCAGCGGGTCTGGCTCTCCTTTACTGGACTCAGAGCTGACATCATCTTCATCAGAACTACTGATGACTTCCTCATCAGAGGGCAGGTCACCAAGACCAAGATGATCATCCTGCCCCTCCTGGGATGTTCCAGAACTGCAGCAATAGAGATACCCATTAGTTATCTTCAACAAAAAGGAGGGCTGGCCAAACCAAACCAGAACCACTACCTGATCCTAGTCATGTGTGACAGACTGCAACCTGAGGGATTGGGGGGTGGGGGTGGGGGGCGGAAAGAGCCAGGTAAGCCAGAGATGTCTTTTCCTTTCCCTGACTTTGTGTTTAAAAGTCAACATCAGACTGACAACAGGAAGTAACTGGAAAGAAGTTTCCCAGTAGCCTCCACTGTTTCCACAATCTCTTCCTTAGAAGACCGAGTCTACTGATTCCTGGTGCAAACCAAGAGGACTTCTAGGGAATACACTAGATGTTGTTGAGAACTTCGGCCTTGATCTTTAAAGACAACAACAGAACGCCAAATCTGTAAAGCTTGGGAAGTACTGACAGCAAGTGTCCAGTAGTTACCAGGAGTAATGGTGAGCACGTGCCCATCACCCTCGTTCTCACTGATATGTACCTGCAGTTCAAGAGGTAGGCAGGACAGTGGACCTGGAGGATGTCAGGCTCCAGCCTCCTACAGAAACAGAAACCCACGATCTAATGACCTTTAAACAAGCCCTCCCTTCAGGTGGTTAATGACTCAGCTTGAAGTTGGAAAAGTACTTCCAGGCCATGTATCAGCTCTTCCTAGTCAGCCTGACCTCACCAAGGCTTTGCAGTGTGTACAGACAGCTCTCATGTGGCAAACAGCCACTGTTTCAATCCATTCTGTAGGGGGAATTCCACAGTAGAGTTTCCCCAGGCGGATGATGGGAATCATTCCAGCATAGGATGTACATACTCAGAAACAAGATGCTTTTAAAAACTGCCTAGGACCAGGCTGGGTATAACCCACCCCAACATCTGGGGCTCCAAGTAAAAGGATGGAAAGGGTGGCCGCTGAGTTCAGGCACAGCGTGAAACTGTCTCAGCAAACAACAAACTGCTTTTCTGCTGCTGGTCGGCCGTTAAGTCTACCACAGCATCCACAGCATCCACGGAGTGGAATGAATGGGTGAATCCACTAAAAGATCCAAAGAAAATCATGAGGAAAACCACTCCAGCAGAATAGAAATTTACATTCCATTTCTGCTGTGGCTCTTTTTCAGGTCCCAGGCAGGTCGGTCCCTCAACTGCCAGAGTTCCAAAGGATAAGGATTTCTAATGAGAATCTTAAAAGTGAAGGATACATTTTCTGCCAGGTCTTGATTACGCTGCAGAATAACAGCCTCACCTTTGGAAGCCATCCCTGAGGTTCAACTGTTACACAAACCAGCTGGATCTAGGCAAAATGCCAAAAGGAACACCTCCTACCACCAACCACTTGGCTTCCTGTTACTCAGTGGCCGGGGCCTCTTATCACTCAACTGGGTGGATGCACACCTTTATCATAGGTGGCCTGGACAAGCAAAAGACTCACATCCTGGGGGGGGGTGGGAGCGGAGGCAGGGATTTTCCAGTCAGATCACTGACAGAATTAGCTATTCCCAGGAGCAGGGCAGGGAGCCAATTCAGTCGGGTTATTAGTTTTTGATTTGCATTGGCAAGAATAATTAAAAACAAATAAGACGTAGACCGGAGCTCCTATCCATGTAGACAGAGGTAAACACACCTTCACCTTTTCGGGGGGGTGGGGATTGGCCGTGCTGGGGACCAAAGAAGGCTGGACATTGCTCTGGACAAGGGCTCTCTCACTGAGCTACACAGCCAGCCCCACCTGTTTTCACCTTCATCCCTTACTCCTTTGACCCTCTAGCCTTGCCACCTCAGCACACATTCCTAAAGTATGCAAAACTCTCAGCCCCTCCCCCGACCTGCAGGAGCAGGACCTAGGTGGAGCAGCAGAGACCGAAGCTCTGTTCCAGAAGGCTTTTCCCATGAGCCCATCTGTGGGTTTTCCTGGACACGGGGATTTCAGGGGGTTAGTAGTGAGGACACGGGGCTTTGATTTGGGTTAGAGTTGAAAGGTGCTTCTCTGGCAACCATTTGAAAGGCTTGTATTGAGACAGCTAGCTATTGTCATTGCTTTTAGGAGTTCAAGAGAGAATGTGATGGCACACACCTGTCATCCTAGCTAGCCAGCAGAAGGCTGAGACAAGAGGATCTGAGCTTGAGGCCAGTCTGGGCTCTAAAATCCAAAGGGACAACAGCCGCCAAACCAGCCCCCGAAGGAAGTGCAAAGGTCACTATGTCAGAGCAGGGAGCGAAGCTGTCAAGACCACAGGGTTGAGCATAGGGCAGGGCAGCAGGGTCAATCCCCCCCCCCAACAGAGAGTGAAAACAAAACTACATGAATCCAAACACTGACATCAAACCGTGGGATACTCGGGACTTCCAAAGATGGCTTGCGGATGCAAAAATCTTCCCAGATCCTCTTTATCGCCTCATCACTGATTGGTTTATTTGTCTCTCCTGGCCCCTAAACTACTTCATAGCAACACAATCACTAGTTTTCCTCATTAACACGTAAGCACAAGACAACTGTGTTTTCAGCTGAATCCCAGCATGCTGCCTGACAAGTACTTTTCACCCTTTTTGTTTGTTTTTCAAGACAGGGTTTCTCTGTAGCCTTGGCCCTCCTGGAACTCTATCTGTAGACCAGGCTGGCCTTGAACTCAGAGATCTGCCCGCTGGGATTAAAGGTGTGCACCACCACTGCCAGGCTACTTGTCACCATTTTCAATGGTCCAAGGATGAAGCTGGGGACACAGGGATTGAGAGGAAGGGATGGATGAGGGGGTAAACAACAACACCACCACCACCACCTCACGGAAGACCTGAAGATTCAAAGACCTGGTTCCAGCAAAACCAGTTAGACCAGCGAGAAGGGACTGTAAAGGGGAAGAGAGCATGCATCCAGGAACTAACTACACTCACTTGTTTATTTTTAGAACAGTTACTAAACTGTTTACTCACATAATTAACTGCAGCTTCCAAGTCAACATAGATAACTTCAGGCTTCTGATAAGGGCTGGGGCTCCTTACCCATGCCAATCCTGCAGTACGGAACTCTGCTAACCTTGTATTCCCTCGGAAAGGACTGCCTAACACTGCTTTGCAGGCTAACGGGACAGGCCAGTGTTTCCTCCACATCTTCCTGTCTGGTTCGTCCACATGCAACAGTGGAAGAAGGCTTCAGGGGCCTTCCACAGCAGAGCACACACTCAGCTCCACCTCCCTGAGCCACCCACTCCAGGCCAGATTTGCTTCTGGAAGGAGACAAATTTCTAGAAAGTCAAGAGAAATCAAAGCCAGAAATCAATTCCTATTGGGAGGCACCGTCCTTCGATTCCAACTGCCATGGTCTCTTAAATGCCATCATAGTTTTTAAGTTAACTTTTTCCCATGCTAAATTCTATGGGGACAGAACATCCTCCGCAGGAAAAGTACATCAAATTGTATATAAAAACTTAACAGCAACAGTCCTCCGTTAGAAAATATTTCATTGGCTTCCTCTAGATCTTAGGAACATAAAACCTGCAGAGTTGAACCAGAGAAAACACCCTTCTACACCAGCACTGAATAAACACCTCAGCAAGGGAGGGGCGAACGCACAGTGGACAGCCGGAGAAGCAGAGTGAGCAGCCTAGCCACCCGCCCGGGCCCAAGGGGAGGAGAACATGTGCGCATGCTCAGGATGCTGTTACAATCCTTGTCAACCACTCCCAAGCTGTGTCTGGGGGGGCTGTGTGCTTCCTCTGGCTGCTTTCATATTTACCACAGAATGAGCAGGAAAGCGAGTATTAAGGGACTTGAAGGATGAACATTGGACAAGGAAACTTAATTTTTAATGATCTATCAGTTATTATGAAAAGCTAACCATAATTTCACCAGAAAGTGGTTACCAGCCCCAAACTGTTCTTACTTAAGTCCTCTTTGAAGTCCTAGAGTAAGTCTGGAATTTCCCCTACAACAAGCAGGGCGGTGCTCTTGATTGTTTTATGAAAACCTGGCCCAGCCTACAAAGTAGGCATGCTGGTCATTTCACCTGCCAGTAGACCTCTTAGGAGTCATAGATCCCTGTCACATTTTTAGGTTTTCCACACAGAGGATAGTATGTGCAGAGCCTGGGTGGCAACCTAAAAGTCAGGAGATAGCAGAGTGAGAAGAACGCTATCTGATGTTCTGAACAAGTTCCATAGTCAACAATGGGACTCTGCAGGGAGGTAAATGGGTCATCTGCAGGTCTTCCCTGCAACTATTTTTTTTTTCTCTCCGCCCCCTCTTCCCCTTTCTTCTTCTCCCTTTTTTCCTTTTTCCTCTGGAGACAGAGCCTTACTCTAGTCCCAGGCTGGCCTTGACTTTTGATTGTCCTGTCTCGCCCTCCAGATTTACCAGGAAATAGGTATACATCAACTCACCCAGCAGCAAGCATCATTTTAATAGCAGAAAGTGATGATTTCATCAGCTGGGTATGCTGGCAAATGCCTACAACCCCAACAGCCAGGAAGCTGAGGCAGAAGAACGGTGAGTTCCAGGACAACCTGGACAATCTAGGTTGTACCAGGAAAATGAATAAGGAGATGAAAGCAAAAAGTCTCACTATCATGGTGTCAGATTAGAAAAACCCTGTGCCCAGGCAAACAGTGCATTAACCCTTTGAAGCTAAAACTTGATTAATACAGAACAAAAATCCTTAAAAACTTCAAAGGATAGTAGGAATTACCCAGAAGAAAGAACAAAAAACAATGATAACCTGAAACTTAGAGGCTATACATGACTAGTGGTTTGGTTCATAAATTTTAGGGGTGCTGGCAAGCAAGCCTTTCAAACTATCGAGCTGGGCCAGTGAGATGGCCCAGTGAGTCAAGGTAAGACGGCCGCCCAGCCTAAGGGCTCCATTCAATCCTTGGAATGTACGTGGTGGAAGGAGGGACTGGACTTCCTCAAGCTGTCCTCTGTCCTCGTGCATGCCAAGAGGGACAAGTGCTCCATCCCACAAACACATTCTTATAAATTTAAAATAACAGCAAGTCAGTTCTGTGGCTTGAAAGAAT